TATACCAGGTGTTGTTTCAAGGTCAAACACTTTTCAAATTCTTTTATTTGGTATTACTGTAATATCTCATCTCACCACTAGATGTCCTCATACACTGTTTTGTCAATATCTGGTTTTAAAAGTTTGTTACAAAGTTTTTAAAGTTCTTTGTTAGTTATTTACCCTAGAAATTAAATCTAAAAAAAAATAAAAATTCCACGTCCTCTAAGTTAAGCAGTCTTTCTTTGAATCAATCTGAGTTCAATTTTTAAGAATTGTTTTGTCTTCCTTAAAATCCTTTCCCCTCCTGTAATTGCTCACCGCTTTTAAGTCTCTTCTCCCCTAGTCCTTCTGGGGTCTTTACTTCATAGCTTCTTCCCAATCAGGGGATCAACGTTTCTAACTCCATAAGGAATAAAAGGACAGCACACTGTTGGCAATCAGCTGTTTAGTGGAGCACCGCAGCTCCTCACTTTTCTTCTGGCTGGCAATGATTTGGGTTGTTTGGGCTTACCAGGCAGCCTTTCTTCCGTCCTTTTCGAAGGTTTCTTCAGTCCGTCTGGACCGACTGCCGTCCGGACTCCTGAAACATCCCTCCTTCTTCATTGCCCCTCCAGGGTAATTTTCTGACCTTTTGGGGTCACCGGGCCGAATAAAATCGGGCTAAGAAGCCAGAGCCCCGGCTTCTTCCATCCGTCTCGTCAAATGCCAAACCGGAAGTCGCTCTGAATGTAATATTAAACAATGTCCTGGAACATTGGAATTTTTCAGTCTATTAGAATTTTGGCTACATCAATCTTTAGGTACAAGAAAAAGATAGCAATGCTTGGCTGGTAAAAATTGCAGCACCTACTGCAAAATCTTGGACTTAAGAAATATGTTCACTTTTAGCCTTTGAACTAGCTCTTAATGGAAAAACTGATCAATATGATTCCAAGACATTGTCAGTCATAATTCAATTTGTTGTTGAAACGGTGATTCACTTTACAATGGAATTGCATTATACAGATACATTGTGATGTATTTTCTTTTACTTTCCTTTTAGAGCATGTTAATTTTTTTCTTCTTTTTCTTCTTTTTCTTGTATTTTAATATATACAAATAATAATTACATTTTTTAAAAAGATGGAGGGCAATAAGTTGAAGAAGACTGGTTCATGGCAAACTGGAGATACCTTCAAGTGTGTTTTTAGAAACTATTGGAAGCTACTTGCATGCATTTAAGCTTCTTACAATTTAATGCAATATGTATCTTTAATATAAAAAAATGAAGCAATCGCTCTATTTTACTCAGAATTAGATACACTTGAGTGTACTCATTTCAGAAATGAATTACATTTGCCTAACAGGAAGAAGTGCATGTAGGTGTGAGATTTTTGACTCAGCTGCTGGGAATACACTTCATTAAACTCGGGGATGTCCTTTTGAGTTGACACGTATAGGAGTATAGTGAAAATCCAATGAGTTAAAGCTGTGCAATCTGGCATGGACAGTATTTCTAAATAGATTTCCAAAATGCCAAAGGACATTGTGTACTTATTAGGAAGTGGCTACTCTTTCTTTGGTGTGTGTGTGTGTGTGTGTGTGTTTGTATGTTTTTATTTGTCGGTAGATCTATTTAAAGGTGGGCTGATGGTCCAATAAGTTTAAATACTGGTAACATTTAACATTGATTATGTGGCATCAAGTCAGTTATGATTTTTAGTGAGCATGTAGATTGATTTTCTCTATTAAGATTTGTATCTTATGGGTATTTCAGATCTTCCAATGGGGTAACTATTACCATTGTAACTGATTCAGAATTTAATTTTAAACCAACCAAATATACTTAGAGGAACTCATTTAGGATGGAATTTCTTGTACATAATTTCAGCTGTCTTGCTATACAGCACCGAACAATGGCCTATTTTGAGACCATAGCAGAATCTCCATCGCAGAAATCAGACTTTGCAGGGCTAATAGCAATAGCAATAGTACTTATATACTGTTTCATAGTGCTTTACATCCCTCTCTAAGCAGTTTACAGAATCAGCTTATTGCCCCCCAACAATCTGGGTCCTAATTTTACCCACCTCGGAAGGATGGAAGGCTGAGTCAACCTTCAGCTGGTCAGGATCGAACTGCTGGCAGTTGGCAGAATTAGCCTGCAATACTGCATTCTAACCATTGTGCCACCACGACTAAGGGACAAATCATTCTTTTTAGCCATTATTAACCAAAGAAGTTGAAGAGAGAAGGTATTTTGGAACTAAGAAAGCCAGCAGTCCACTTTAAGGACAGAAATGAACAATGTCACCTTCATCCTTGCTCTGTTGCCAAAGATTGAAGCTGCTGTGGTAAGACAGTAGGCTCTCTTTCATTTAACGAGCAATTACTGTATGTCTTATGTTGACAAGGGGAAATCTGAAATCCTACATAGACTTGACTAGGAACAGGTCTGGGTGAAATAAGTAGGATGGCATTGCAATACATCATAAATAGCATTGTAAAGATGCTGATGCTTGGGGAGAGTAATGGGGAGGTATTCCTAATGTTTTGGACTGTGGCACTTCTTTTTGTGACCTAGTTTTTCATGTTCCTGGTTTTAAAAGTGGCTGATGGCTAAACCTTGATTAGGATATTTATTTTCATGTCAGCATACCAGTGCCAAATGCTAATGCATTTTACATCCATCTATGACAGGGAATTTCAAGCTGCCAAGTTTTCACTAAAACTGCTGATGCGGAGAAAATTGGCAACGTAGAGAGATGCAGCAGAAATGCCACCCCCCTTCTTTGAGGCCTTTCCAATGAGGTTGACCAATAGCAGGTATTCTGCCTTTCCACGCAAGCGGGTAGCTGCTTGTCCTGGACAAAGTGCACAGTCAGCAGGAATGTGATCAACAGGAAAACACTTTGGGGCATGTTAAGTTTATTTGCTCTTGATACTGTCAAAGAATTTGCTCCCCATTCTCTGTATAAGGATGCCATCACTTCGAACACCTAACCCCTACATATAGTCTGTATCATTGCCAGCTTTATTTCTAGCAAGGGGATTTTTAAAAAAAATAATAATTAAAGAGCCTTTTGGAACTGAATTCGTTGAAGTTTTCCTCTGTGTGTGCATGTGCGTGTATTAGATTCAGCCGCAGAGATTGCAGTGTCTACGTTTCTGATAGTGATGGGTCCAGCTTAAGCTGTGGATAGTTGCAGGCATTTTGTTCAATTTAGGCTTCCTTTACTGAGGCTATACAGAAACCTTTCTTGATCCGATGCCCTGCAAACACATTAAGACTTCCCATACTGTAATCCCCTGACTCCATTAAGGCTGTGGAGGTTGAGGAATTATAGAAAGCATGAAGTTTAAGCCATCTGAAGGATATCAAGTTCAAGCCAGCAGAATCCTAACTGGCTTGGTGACTCCTGTGACTTTGTAATGCATGCCGGTATTAGGTTTTTTTTTTAACGCATGGGCTTATTTATTTCTTGTGTTTATTGAAGACTTCACAATCTTAGAACCAGGAAAATTATTCAAGTGAATAACTCCAATACTAATTCAAGCTCTGTTGTTAACATCTGTCATTGTGCAACTTTTAATCATACAGGCAACAAAGCTAAGAAAATATTCTACCTAAATACGGGTGGTAAGGAATAACGAAGTTCCATCATCTGAGATGACACTTGGGTGAGATAGTCTTTCCAAGATTTCCTTGCTATGTACTTCCTATCGTTTTGTTCTTGCCATGGCTCTGTACAGGTAATCCTCCACTTACAAGCACAATTGAGCCCAACATCTTTGTTGCTAAGTGAAACAGTTGTAAAACAATTGTTGTTAAATGGGTTTTTCCCCATTTTACAATCTTCCTTGGCACAATCACTGCAGCTGTTAAGTTCGTAACACAGTTGTTAAGTGAATGTGGCTTCCCCATTGACTTTGCTTCTCAGAAAGTTGCAAAAGGGGATGATCACATGACCCTGGGACACTGCAACCGTCATAAATATGAACCAGTTGCCCAGCATCCGAATTTTGATCACATGGCCATGAGGATGCTGCAATAGTCATGTGAAAAAGGGTCATATATCACTTTTGTCAATGCTGTTGAACTTTGAACGATCACTAATTGAACGGTTGTAAGTCAAGGACTACCTGTAGTTCTTCTTTCCATAGGGTTCTGGTAAACATTTCATGTTTCATGTAAAATATTTCCTTTGGGATACCACACAAAATACACACACCATTACCCATTGCTTTGAAAAGGACAGTTCATTACTTCAGCTACTTGTAAATATGCAAGAAACATAGAAAACATGTTCGTTCTGAGTCAGAGCACTAAATTCAGTCAGACATCTTTTTGCAAATGAGCTTGAATGTAAAATCTAGCAGAAACAATCAGAAGCACAAGAAGAGGGAAAGGCGTGGATTTTATTACATTCTTGTATTAATCTACACAAGTTAAAAATATGTCTTAGTATTAGCAGTAAAAACATACGTTACAAGATTACTAAATAGGCCAGAGGTTCCCAACCATTCCCGTTTGGTGGCCCGGAGTGAAAGGGAGGAGCAAGAAAATTTATGCCCTCATGCACACATGCGCAAACAGGCCGCTCGCTCCCCAGCAGCGCTAGTGCCTACATGCATGTGCAAACAGCCACTTGCATCCGCGGCGCGCTAGTGCCCACGCAATGCTGCCGGCGGTGCGGGGGGCACATGTGCAAATGGGGCCACTAGTACCCGCGTGCATCTGCAAACAGGACCACTAGCACCCTCGCGGCATCTACCCCACTTGCAGCGTCGCTAGCATGCACTCACCAGCCATTCCAGCGGCCCGGTGGTCACTAGGCCACGGACCGGTACCGGGCCGCGGCCCATAGGTTGGGGAACCCTGAAACAGGTCATGATAAATAGTCACTAAATACACATTTTTATACATTCAGTGGTTAATTAAAAGTGCTTCCTACTTTATTCTGAAACACTGGGTTTTGCTACTAGCTTTTTCTGGTTGCTGTTTTTCCTATCTTGAGGTAAGTACTTCTTGTTTTTTTTAAACTAGTCTCTAAAAACCAGAGTCCAAAATTCCAGGGCTGTGAAATTCCTGTTGTTTTCTACCAGCTGCTGCAGTGCCCGAGCTTCTCTCTTAGATTGTTCAAAGCTTGATCTCCATACCACAGTTCTCTGCACACTGAGAGGAGAAAAAGTAAACGCTTGAGGACTGGGGCAGCTCAGATGGTTTGCTTCTACCTTCCATCTTCTTGGTAGCATTCCCTGATCAAAAGATAAAAGCACAATCTGTGTTCATTTGTTGTAGGCTTTGAGAGGTGAGGATTGGTATTCTCCCACTTCAAATACTTTGGTCTTCTAGACCTGCCATATAATAATAATAATAATAATAATAATAATAATAATAATAATAATAATAATAATCTTTATTGATTAGCCCTTGGGCCATATCAAAGTGCAAAGTTCCAGCAACAAATTATTACTAAAGTTTGATAAAAGCAATTTAAAATGAAATTTGATAAAATACAGTTTAAAATGGAATTAGAATAAAATACACCTGCCATATAGAATTTAGCTTCAGTGTCTAAGGGACAGATGAACCAACTGATGATACCTGATATTAGAATATTAGGCATGAATAACCAAGACAAGAAAGCCAGCCTGATGTAGTGGTTAAGGCAAGGGAGGCCATTAGTTCCAATCCTACCTTAGGCATAAAGCCAGCTGGATGACCTTGGGCCGGCAATGGCAAACCACTTCCAAGAAATCTGCAGGGATTGTCTTGGAATTGTCCAGAGTCAAGAGTGTCTTTGAACTCATCAAAACATACAAATGAAAAAACCCAAGAGAAAGACGTTTGCCAAGACCAAAGAAGGATGCGTTTGAGGAGAAGGCAATCTTATTCTTTCTCTTCTTCTTATCTTACAAAACGAAATAAACCACTAAAGAGGCAAGGAGCCGTCACCAATGGATCTCAAAATTTACACGGCTACAAAGCAAATATCAAAATGAGAGCTTACAACAATGATCCTTTGATATATTGGTGGTATACTGTATGTCACCAGAGAAATTGTCTAGAATGTATAAAGGTAATTTAAATGTTTTGTTAGAAATATGAATAACAAGAAGGGACATTTTATCCTTCAGATGTACATCCAAAAAGATTGGAGAACACGGAAGTAAGATGAAGTCAATGTGCTCTAACTACTTTCTACATTTATGGATCAGAGTGACTCACAGACGTCTCTTGAAGCAATGTCTTTCTGCAGGAACTCTGTAATTCTGCAGAATTTGTTTGTCTCTGTTACACTGGTTCTGCTTGAGAATCAAAAGACAGCAGTTGACTTAATGATGACAAGTCACTAAGGCAGGGGTAGGCAACCTTGGCTCTTTTATGACTCGTGGACTTCAACTCCCAGAATTCCTGAGCCAGCATGGCTAAGCATGGAAACCTCTCCTTTTCCCCTCAGCGTGGCTGGCTCAGGAATTCTGGGAGTTGAAGTCCACGAGTCATAAAAGAGCCAAGGTTGCCTACCCCTGCACTAAGGAGAGACATATTTATACTTACCTTCGCTTGGCTCCTGATATTTTCCCATACCCTGGTGCACACCATGCACTCAAAGGCATCTATGTAGTTGTCCTTCATAATATCTTGCACTCCCCATGTGCGTTCTTTGATAACAGCAAGCAATTGTTTGTTGGAAATGTCACCTTTCAACTTCCATTCAAGGTAGGCCAGATATTCCTTGTCATCTGCATCCAAAGCTTTGATATACTGAGCCAGGTCCCTTGGGTGTGGAAAATCTGTGATGAGAATGGCACTCTTGTTGCTTGGAAGCCAGTCTTGAACAGTGGGAGAGCCATAATAAACAGGCACCACTCCCAGCTTTAAGGGCCTCCAGAGTTTTTCAGTGATATAATCTTCACAGACTGAGTTCTCAAAAGCCAGGACGAATTTATACTGAGCAAGTATTTTGTAAAAACTATCGCTGTCCATGGAGGATGGATTTTGGAGATGCTCTGGAAGATCTCTATTATGCAAACAAGCCCCGTAGGAATCAATTTCAATGTGAGCCATCAGCTCTTTTACGTAACTGTCTCTGTCAGAGGGAGGATCACAATCAGATTGTACATAGACCAGCGGCGCAAGTCTCTTCCGCAAGCTGTTCTTTTTTTGCAAAGAAACTGTGTACTTCAGCGACTTCAAGGCCTTAATACTTTCAAGATACTGGGTGGTAAGCGATAGGTGTGAGTGGCGGCTGAAAGTGGCTGTGTGGTTGAACAAAGTGATGGTAGGAGCTTGGAAAAGCTTGTAGTTGTTTTTGGGGGACTCCTCGTGAAAAAGAGCCCAGTCATGGAAGCCTGCACGGGGCAAAGGTAAGCTGTGTATGCTGAAATCAGTACCTGGGTATTGAAAAACATAACATATTCCTTTTAATTAAATTCAGTGGACTTAGTTGCACTTTCTTCAATAATATAAATATCATTATCAAGGTAACGTGATCATCACCAATAAAGCAGATATTCTCCAATTGTAAGAGTCATACTAATACAGTGGTACCTTGATACTCATTGTTAACTGGTTCCGGGAGACGCGATGAGTTCTAAAAACTATGAGTGCCAAACAAATTTTCCTATAAGGAATAATGTTGTGAATCACAAGGCAGCTAACATCAACTAATTCTAGATTATGTGCTGAGCATCAAATAAAGAATGGGTACTGGGACAAAAATTTTGCATCAAAATGCTTTGAGTACCAAATTCGATAAGTTTCAAAGTAATTGAGTACCAAGGTACCACTGTATTAAAAAATTGGAAATTGCATCAGAATGACAGATTTGAAGTAGAACAAAAATCTACTTTTGGGGGGAGAAAAAAAAAACTAAGAGGAGGAAGAGATCTGGAAATAACCCAATCAGGACTTAGCCTGCTCAGTAGCCATGAAATACTGATTATTCAGGATGGAGAATAATAAATAGGAAATAGGAGAAAGGGTCTGTACAGAGAAGAGCCCTTGACATATGACTAGTTGCTTAACGACCACTTGAAATTAAGATGGGCCTAGAACGGATGCTGTACAACCCATAAAGCACTTTTGGCCATTGTTAAATGGTGCCCACCCTCCCAAGATCCCATGACCACATTTCAAGCACTTGGCAGCTGGCTCGCATTTATGACTGGTTGGAGCGCCCCACAATTATGTGGCCATGATTTCACGCCAGTTTCTGGTGGTTTGTTTTTTTTTATTAATTTCTGGCAAAAAAAATAAATCCCACCCATTCAGAAGAATGGTTTTGCACTTACAACCACATGCAAAAAAATGTCATAAACTCAGGTCTAGCCACATAGGTGCTTCCTCTACTGAGCACAGTGACCGATGACCAGAACTCCTGTCCTAATAGTAATCATAAGTCAAGGACTATCTAAATCACCATATTCCCAGTTGGTTCCACTTTTTTCTACATACAGAAATCAATATGTAAATTACACAAGAAAAGGGGGAGTAAGAGATTACTCAAGAGCCCTTTCAAAACTTTAGCCATTCCCTTACCGTAAAAAAGAAAGGCTCTAGTCATAGGATTGTGTTGGTAAGTCCTGTTAATGGTAAAGAAGCAAATATCCTCGCCACACTGAGCCTGCCTTCCAGACTCTCCTGTGAGTGGAGACCACCACAGCAAGATGGGATACGTGCCTTTGTGCACTTTCTTTCTTGTACTGTGGTCAGGTTTTGGCCTTTTGAAAAACAGAGGATATTTCTGTAACCCATCTTCTCTGGAAGCGTCGTTTTGTGAAGTCAACTGTTCAGACCTGCCCAGTTCTACAATCACCTTTTGAAAAACAAAGGAAAATCAAGAATTACAGAAGGCTTAAGAAATAAGGTATGAAACCTTATGCACGGATATGGATTTGAAATGGGCTTAGACTTTCTAACGAAAGCTAGTTTGGTGGAGTGATTAAGGTACCAGGCTAGAAACTCGAGAGACTGTGAATTCTGGTCTTGACTTAAGTACAAAGCCAACTGGGTGACCTTGGACCAGTTCCTCTCTCTCAGCTCTAGGAAGCAGACAATGGCAAGCCACTTTTGAAATGTGCCATAAAAACTGCAGGGACTAGTCTAGGCAGTCACCAGGAGTTATCACTGACTCAGAAGGAACAACCCACCCACCCACCCATATACACACACACTGTTCTAACACATACTCAGTGAGCCTATGATAAGTATATTATTTCTGAACTGTGAACTTACTCTATCCATATATTAGTCATATCAGACTATTGCTCTCTAGTCTGTGAAGCTCCTTTCTTCATGGTTTCCAGAAAACCTTTAAAAGATAATTTTATTTAATCAGGCTTTCTAATAAATTCTACCAAAAGTTTTGCTGCCATTCATACTGGGAGAGGGTTGACTTCTTATTTGTACTTTTTGTTTATTCTTTTGTTCCATTTATAATTTTAAGTCTTTTGAGTGGGGCAGGCTATAAAAACTATAAAACAACCAACCAAGCAACCAAACTTACAGAAAACAGTTTTATTCAAAAACTTCTAGGATGCTTGTTTCCTTCTAGCTTTTAGGAATTTCCCTTGTCTGTATACCATGATCTATCCTGTTCTCCAGATTCCCCATCCTTGGTGTAATATTTCTAGAGGGCTGGAGGTACTAACACAGAAGCTAGGAAATCTGTTACCCCCATCTCATCTGGATTGAAGCCTACAAACAGCAGATCATAAATTTAATTTCCTTGTAGCACTTCATATGAAAAAATCTAGCTTTCCACAGGACCCATTTGGAGGAATTCTGACGCATTACAGAGTTACCTCTGATCTGCCTTCTCCTTTTTAACTGCATCAGCTCAAGAGTCTTGCAAGAGGAACCAAGCTGTGGCATTATAAGATAGAATAATTCATGACAGCAGAACCAGAATAATGAGAATGAGCATATTTTTTTACTCACGGAAAATGACTTGCCCTGTATTTTTTACTCTGCGCATACAGGTATTCCTCGACTTATGACCATTAATTGAGCCCCAAATTTCTGTTGCTAAGCGAGACGGTTGTTAAATGAATTTTGCACCATTTTACAAGCTTTCTTGCCATGGTTGTTAAGTGAATCCATGCAGTTGTTAAGTTAGTAACGCGACTGTTAAGTGTGTTACTTGTCAGAAGTTCGCAAAAGGTGATGACATGATCCTGGGACACTGCAACCGTCATAAATATGAACCTGTTGCCAAGCGTCTGAAATTTGATCACATGACCACGGGGATGCTGCAACAGTCATGTGAAAAATGGTATGTCAATTTTTTCACTGCCTTCAAACGGGCACGAAACAAATGGTTATAAATCGAGGACTACCCATATTGTCTTTTTACTGGTGAAAACCAAGCAGTACTGAGAGACCAGTGGAAAGGAACGGAGATTTGGAGCATTGGGAAAGCACATAATTAAACCCGAAGCACCAGGCTGAACCCCAAAGTTGATATGGGAATGTCCCCGTTCTCTCTCCTAAAGTTTTACATCACATAGCTATTCCTTCCTCTCTTGGGGGCATTTCTGAATATATTCTCAGCTCCATCCCAAGGATCTTTGGTACCTGGAAAGTGATCAGGAGAAAAAAGGAAGCCATAAAACAGAAGCAAGATGCCCAAAATCTTTTCTTCTTAATTCTTTTCATGCCTTATGATCAGGCATACAAAGTCTTCCTGTTTGGGGCTCAGGGATCCTTAACATGTCCAATAACTGGTCCAATGTATTTTCCCTAGAAATCCTTGTTCTTCTCAATTGTGGTTACTGGTGGGAGAAGAAGTGCCATCAAACCTGAGTTGATCCTCGACCTTGTATTACTGTAGCTTCCTCAATCAGGAATTCCTTCGAATTAATGCACTGCTAAATGAAAAGATACAGTTCAGAAATACGTTCTTCAATCTATGTTGGCATATGTGCTAGGAATCAGTTCCCAGTCTTCCTGATATATGTGTATGATCACATCCCCATCAAAAACTTTTGAGACCCACATAAACGAACAGTTAGCAACACTGTGTGTGGGTACTATGGTACATGTGTCCCTCCCCAGGCGGGACCCACAGCACCCCAACATTAAATACAAATTATTTAAGGCCCAAAGCTTTTGAGACTGCCAAATCTCTAAAATATTAGAAGGACAAGCCCGCCCTAATTTTAATTAAATTTAATTTAATTTGAAGATATTTAGCAGTAGTGGACTACAAGCCACAAATTCTACATTGTATTTCCATTCATCTGTAACAAGGATAATGTGTTCTTTAGTATGTGAAAATTTAAATAGGCTAGAATAAGATTTCACATATGGAATTTAGCTAAGAAATTTTGTCTTTCTGCAGAAAATAATGTATTTAGTAATTATTGTAAATCTTTGAGGCAGTGAACAGAAGCAATATGCTTTGTTCTATAGAGTAGATACAATAATGCTACATAATATATGCAAATTCACATTCATTTGCATCACAAAATGTGCATAATTGTAAGAACTGATCTGAGGCATCTATAATTTTCTTTTTTAAAGCAAAGAACACACATCAAATATATAATTTCTAAAGCCTAATGGCAGTGTAACAAGACAATTATAGAATCTCTTTCCCAGAAGTCTTAAGGATAATATTAGCACTAATGTTTTATCAAGGTTTGTAAGGTTTTTCCTTAAAAGATGAAGGGAGGTTTGATCTGAATAGAAAACCCTTCCAGGAACAACTGTGCCTTTCCAAAAACAAAAATCGTCTCTGCTTCTCCCTTTAAATAATACTGAAGAAACGTTAAAACAAAAGCTTAAAGAACTAACAGAAGCTTTAAACTGCATGCTATTGTAAAAGCTTTTGCTATAGGAAAGTAAACAAAAGTTTAAAAATTAAAAGAAAGGGGGAAATGGTTGAAGCCGCTTGTGCTAAAATAGGCCCAAAGTTTTTTTCTTTTCTCCTTTTGTTAAAACACGAGAGGCGGGGCTGTAACATTACATTGGTACTTTTAGTTCAGAAGAGTAAATGTTACGTTTCCCTTTTATTTGTTATCTTTTGGCTCGTTTCCAGCTGCAAATGCCTCGTTGCATCGCAGAACTCGAGACCAAAAGTAAACCGAATAAAGACAAGTCTTTCTTTTTAAGATCTACAGGCGCCTTTTTATGTCTTTTGCAGATGTACAAAACCAACAGGAAAACTATCGCAATGCTTCCCATAGGAAATAAAGATACTCACCCAAGTCCCCGTTCTTCTTCCTGGTTTTGGCAAGACGCTTTTTACTTTCTATTTGTGCCTCTACTTCCCTTGGGTCGACAGTAAACTCTGCAGCGGATCGCAGCGCTCCTCTCCCAATAACATCCCTGCGGAAGATCAATTGGGAGAAGCAGATCCCGGGATCCACCTTCCAGAGTTCTCCGAATCCCACTTTGGAAAACAGCGTTCCTGGGTTTGTGTGAAGGAAAAGTTGGTTTGATCTCGCTCATGGTGGCGTCGTTTCAACGGAGAGACCCATCTCTTTCCCAACGTCCCGACCGAAAGGATCTCCGTCAAAATGAGGGTGTGTGTGTGTAAATTTGGCAGCTAATTTATGCGGTTTCTAGGGGAAGGTTTCGAGCTTCCCGTTTTGGGAGCGCATTTTTTAAAAAAATTAAAAATAAAATAAAATAGCGATCGCGGTTTCCACAACCGTTTGCAATGCGCTTGCCAACTCGCTTTAGCATAATGCAGCAGTCAGAGCTGCGTCAAGACACATTCGCACGTTGCCCGAGAGTTTTTTTTAAAAAAGGCTTAAGGTGAATTAATTGCGTAGGTCACGTTACAAAACTTTAACATTGTTTTTCTATCACAAATCAGTGCCCGCTGCCGTTGATAATTTCTTAGACAGATTGCATCCGACTGCAAAAACTGCTTATGACCACAAGATGGCAGTGAAGACATGATACCTAGTACTCTCACTCGTTGCTGCCATCTACTGATCAGATGGACGAGAGCCCCTCCACCACATTTCACCCAATACTTCAGAGCTGAAGAGAGGAACATTACATAACATCAATTCTCTTCCGCATTTTACTTTATACTCTCCACTTTTAGCTACAACTATAGACCAGTGTGGAGAAACTTGTGGGCAAGGATTAAAACCTGTGTGTGTAGAAGTGGGAAAGCCAGGTTCTAGCCCACATTCAGCCACTCTCTCTGTTTGTCTACCTCATATGGTTGTTGTGGACAAAGTAAGGGTCATGAGGCGGTGCCACCTTGATCTTCAGAACCGAACAATGGATCACGCAGCTAACTAATTACATAGTTAATTTCCTAGATAGGCAAAATCAACCTGGCAATTATATCAAATTCTCATGGGCAGGAATTTCAATGGAGGAGCCCTGTATCTTCACCTTGCTAAACCAACCTTAGGCTTCTTTTGTCATATTTGCCTGCTTTCCCACATCAAAATGGCAGTCAATTGTATCGAAAGGGACTCCAGGAAAGGAAAAGGGAGGTTCAGGGGCTACTTATGGTCCTGAAACCAGGCTGTTCAACTTTAATCTTTGTTTTTAAGATCATATATTTCCTCTGCATTAACTTTTCTTCTATTAATTTAAAGCCCAAGCCAAAAGTTATTCCTTGAATTGACTGATAATATACACAGAACTTTATTATTTCTCTAAGAAGTAATATAGTTTTTTTGTAGCCACATTCAAACACAATACCTCTCTGATACTAATAATATACTTTTAAAACTTTTTTATATCTGAAAAATAGATGCTGCTGCTTTAATGAATCACCATGAACAACAGCATATTTATTGTGATTCTTAAAAGGCAACTTATTTTTAAATTTCAGAAATCTGTTACTAAGTTTGCATTAGCCTAGGCCTGATGCGTATCTTCTAAATTATTTTGAAGTGTGCACTTTATCTTGCAGAATGCTGTTAACAATCAGCAGTTATAAGTCTTTTTTCATTATAGAACCACAAGATGAATGGCATTTAAAATAAATAAATAAATAATAGTTTATTTCAACTTCTTTTGTTCATGAAAAATTGCAGATGTTTATTTTGTAAAACTGGATATCACGACAAAGGGGAAAACGAAGAAGGATGAAATTGGTACATAACTTTCAATTCCTATATTACCGTAGTTACACCATGAAGCTAAGCTAAAATCATATTAGACTGCATGAGTCATTGAGAAAACTAGCTTGAAAAATGTTATAAATTCAACATGAATAAAAGTGTAGTCTGTATATATTGTAGATCAGGGGTGTCAAACGCGTCATGCGGAAGCTGTGCCCACCCCATTGCCGGCAATGGCAAAACTGTCCCGATACGTTGCGCGACGTCACATGACATCGCAAGTTTGACATACTTGTTGTAGATGCTAAATGTGAAACTATATGGGATTGTTAGTTTTGAATAGGGGAGATATCGGCTTGATCAAATGTATTTTTATGGCCACTGTCTAGTTTTAAACAATCAAAAGACACTTTGATATGGTGAACTAAGTGGTACTCTTTGATATGGTACACTAAGAATGAAAATAGATGAATAAATGAATGCTTTGGGACATTTCTCTCATTTTATGTGGACAGGAGAAATAGAATTCTGCTAAAGTTCTACTCTATTTTAATGTGGCTAATTATACATATGCTTGCTTTGCTTGTATTAATCAAGGTTGTATTAATTAAGGTTTTAATGCTTTTTTGCTTTAATGTATTATTTTTGTTCTGAGCTATCCAAGCAATCCTTTTTAGAGCAATATATGAAACTTTTTATAAATTAAAATAAACTTAAGCATTTTATAAATTAAAATAAACTTAAGGATTTCCATATCCTGTCTGTATTTCAGAGACAAATATATAAATCAATGACAATAAAAATAAGTGGAGCTCAAAAGAATAATGTCATCAGCAGTGACTGAAATACAGAACTCCTCATTTCAACCCTTACAAACATGATAATGATGATGTTATCCATTCAGTCATGTTCGACTCTTGGCGATTTTATGGGCCAGGTCTGTCCACATCTTCCAATCTTGCACTATTTCTTTGAGTTTTTCTATGCTCTGGCTGGTGTCAGCTTTGATGGAGTCCAGCCATCGTGTTCTTTGGCAGCCTGGTTTCCTTTAATCGCTAACTCTTCCCAACATAACTGCTTTCTCTAGTGAATTCCTCCATATGACACAGCCAAAATGAGATGCAGTTTTGTGATTTTTTTCCCCTTCTAGTGACATTCTCTTTTTCTCTCTGTGCCTTTTACAAATAATGTAAATAGGAGCCAATCATATGTTAGTACTGATGTAAGGATTACTGGATTACTACAGTCAGGGCTTTTTTTCAGCCGGAACGCGGCAGAACCGCGTTCCGGCACCTTTTTCCGGGCCGGCCGCACCGGAAATAGCCCCTCCCACACCGGAAATAGCCCCTCCCAAATTTTACTTGCATTCCTGTTCTCTAAAGGGGCGGTCCTAGGGTTTGATGAGGGCGTGGCCAGGTTTGAGTTCCGCCACCTTTTCTCCGAGAAAAAAAGCCCTGACTACAGTAATATGTAGGAAACATTTTGTAAACTCTAAAGTGCCACAGAACTGCAAGATGGCATTCTGACTGTTGAGATTACCAAAAATATAACCCTTTATGTTTTTAAAAGGAATTTGCTAAAAGAAACCTCTTTTCCAACTGTTCTGGCATGCTTCAATCCTAGAAGAAATTCATAGTGAAACCTTTTATTATACAATTATCTTCTTCCATCCAGCATTGATTGTATTGTTCTTAGGGACCACCAATTTCATTTTACTGAGGGGACTGGTAGTCTCTTCTCCTGAGATTAGTGCCTAATTCAGGGATAGACAACCTTGGCTCTTTTATGACTCGTGGGCTTCAACTCCCAGAATTCCTGAGC